ACTGGTTGAATCTACCAGATATTGTTTTCAGTGTAGGAAAAATAGTATCGTGTGCCGTTGGCTTAAGACCGTGCCCGCGGGACGTCGCGGAACGCGCCGAGCGGATCGTGCAGCCTCGTTTCGCGGCTCCTACGCCGTCATTCTTTCGTCACTGTGCAATAAAGTGCGCGCCGCGCCGCGAGATTAATACCGGAAGTACCATGCAAAGTGCCGCGCGATTGTGACGATATTTTCGCGCGAGGACGTCGCCTCGTCGAGCATGCCGGCGACGCAAAAGGTGCGGCAGAACCACGGGGGAGAGAGGGAGGCATCGGGCGACGGCGTGGGGCAGGCATGTATAATTGTTATTCGTTTATTATTTTGCCGCCCCGCGGCGGATTCCGCCACTTTATCCCGAGAGCGGGCGACTTGATTCGCCCACACGCACGCACGCCACATTATGCGCAATTCGTAATTCGTGATTCGCAGAAATTTGTTGGACATTCGTTATTATTTTATTATTGCTAGACTTCACTACACATCTGGTAAATCCTAAAGGAATTCTGATTCGTCCATTTTCGAACAGACGACTGGTTGAATCTACCAGATATTGTTTTCAGTGCAGGAAAAATTTATTACTTACCACACTATTGTATTCGTCGTTTCGTTCGTGTTAACTTGGACAACTTTTAACTTTTACCTGTTGTTATAGTTCTTGTATCATAAGTCTACAATTAGTTAAGTTTCAATTAGTCAAGAGAACACTATTTTCGCCCAAAAATCGCTCGGCTAGCGAATCACTGCGAATGGCGAATTTTTCCTCAACACTATTCACAAATATACAAATTACAAATCGCGGATTACGAATCGCGCATAGTGCGGCGCTGGCTTTACGCGATGCTCATTTTGCTCGTACAATACCCGCTCGTTCGAGGTTAACTCCGACACGATTCGCCGAGTTCGATCTCCGGTGTGCGAGGAGCGATATCGTGTCGCGTCTCTCACTTACTCGCGCGCTTTTTTTCCCCCCCGCGAATTAATTATGCGAGCGAGTTAACGCGGATATATGCAGCCGCCAGCGGCGACCGCGATCGTTTGCCGCATTAGCATTTCGAAATCAGACGTCTGTTAAAGAGACGGTTTAAACGTTTAACGGGCGCGATAATTATTTTTGCAAGTATTGATCATTTTGGGCTTCGCCGCTTCAATGGGAAAAAATATTTTGTACGTTGCAGATTAACGTAGCGTTACAACGTCCGTTGTTGCGCGTCGGCAGGTGATTTTTTTTATTTCCATTTCGAGGCAAGGGATTTGTGAAAATTTTATTACAGACGTAAATAAAATGCGTGTACGAAAAATGAGATATTATAAAAAAATCACGAAGAGTTCTTTTTTCATATACATCATTAATCGATATATCGAAATTTGTTATTTAAAACGATAATAAATGTAGCGGTAAAATGTTCTGTATTACTTAATCTCATGAAATCCGAATGTATTATTTATCCTACGGGCACCACAGGAAAAATTCAAACGTTAAAAATTGCGTGTAAGAATATCACAGATGAATACAATATATTACAATCTATTGCCTCGAAACGGATATACTCGGGTAGAGCCTAGAAAATATTTTTATAATTTGTAATCCTCCGCCGACTTTATATCATGTGCACAAAGACGTACGGCGATAAGCAGAATGGTTGCAAAACTTTTTAAAAAATTAATTTAGGGACGTGCATTTAGATTCAGATTTACGTTCCAAAATATTTTCTCTGAGGAAAATTTTACTCGAGAAATAGATCGGAAACACTCGAAATGGTTTCGGAATGGCCATCGAGTAAAATATTCCTTGGAGAAGATTTCGGAATCTGAATCTAAATGCACGTTCTTAAATTCATTAAAAAAAAAAGTGTCGCAACCATTCTGTCCACCAGAATATACGCTGAAAAACAAATGTTTGCTACCGTAACTAATCATGATTTGCCAAAAATATTTTGCTACCACAACCATACATTTTTGAACCACAGCAAATGATTTTGCTGTCGCACCTAATACAATAGACACAGTAGCAAAATATTAGCTATCACAACTGAATATTAACTGTCCATATTTTACAAATGAAGTTTAATTACTACATGCAGTTTTTAGCTACGGCGGCTACAATTTTTTTTCGTGTACGAGGCATATGCGAGGTTGTAAGGAAAATTTTCGCGAAAAGAAAGGCGTCTCGTTATTTTCAATTCGTTCCTTTTTTTCAGTTTATCACTCGATCGTAAACAAAAACGCGAAGAGAAATTGAAAAGGGGAAAGGGAAAAAGCGAATATGTTTTCCCGTGGATTTTCGCGTTAGTTTTCTAGATTGCAGACACAAACGTCACGGCGGAATCTGTTACAGAAATAATAAGGTAGCGTATATGTCCTGTACGTGATGTGTACATATGGGAAGATATATTTCGCGACGAAGTGTCGCGGCGAAGACGTTTATGAATTTTTCATGGCACGAGTGCAACTGATTGAGGACGGCGCTATTCTCGCTTTTACGATGAAACTGCCGGGTCGCCGATTATCGTTTTCTTCCTTCGGTGAAAGCGCCACTTTTATATTTCTCAATTACGCATTCATCAAGCGCCGTACTTTTCAAATCGGAAATAGATAAACGACTAGGCGTCCCATTAAATAGTTCGTTTATTTTAATTCGGCGTTTATCGTTATCAGAGTTACCTTAATAAGAAACGTCTCGTTCTCTTTCAATTACAATTCCTTTTCACGGATACACATTTAAATCCTTCGCTACAATTTTCTCTTTTTCTTGCTCTGTCGCCCCTGCGTCTATTTTATCGTATAATTCGCGCTTTTTTTTTTGGCGCATATAGAACAATTTATGAAGAGCCAACGTCGTGGTAATAATTACTAAAAATAGAAACGTTTGTTTGGCATAATTACGCCCGGCTTTTGAAATATCTTCTCTGCAGAGTTGCGAATTGCCCGCGTTACGCGAATTCCGTGAAAACACGTTGTTGTGGAAGCATATTTGTGCCATATATCTTTGCGTCATCGAGGAAAACAATTCGATGCAAAAAGCCAGGTAATAATTTGTAACCGGAATCAGGATGTCGAATTACCGCGTCTACCATGCTGTATTTACGATTTCCAATAACCTGCAATCGATGATTACAAGCTGTCCCTGTTTATGCGCTGCAGGGAGTTATACGAATAAAATGACGCAAACGTCACTATCGTGAGTAGTTGGCTGCGGAATGAGTAACTCAATAACTGTGTGCAGCGATTAATGAGATAATAATTTCATCGTATCGTTCAGAATATAGCAGTATCAATATTCAGGTCAAAATGTCGCCGTTCCTTAGAAACGGCAAATATTATAATAATTAAAACGCAACGTGTATCTTTTCCTAAAAAGGCTCATCAATTATTAAGACAATGGAAATACACCTGTTTCTACCTTGGAGTGTTTAGGAGAATATTTCAATAAGCACTCCACTGTAATTAAGCGTTCTGTAAATTCTCATCGTTCATGAAATTCACGTGAAATTTATTTGCCAGACATTCGGCGAGATCAAACAACTCGGCGAAATAAACTTGCCACAGAATTAAAATAGTCTTAATTAGCAGCAAGAGGCATGCTACTGAAATGTTAAGTATATAAGTACCTATATACAGTAAAGTATGTAAAATTTACATGCTAGCAAAATTGAGACAGAAGAGAGAGAGAGAGAGAGTGAGAGAGATAGGAGGGGGGAGGGGAAGACACAGAAACTCTTACTGTAAAGCCAGAATATTGCACTTGCGAAAAAGACGTATCTCACGATTTCTTCCGAGTTATTTGATCGTATACGAGCAAACAAAAGGTACCATAATTTTCACGTAACATTAAATATCCGCCGGATTGTGAGATGAGAGGTGGCCGTCGAAAAGGGAAGTCGAAATTATTTGCGCGCCATTGTGAATTATTATAATGGACCGCGTCCGGGAATAAAATACCAGTTCACTTTCCATTTATTCTCGTTTATTTCACATTTATTTTCTGCGAATATTACGATTTATCGATTCGTTTATCTCCCAGACTGTAGTCGCGAAGATCTATTTAGATGAGATAATTTTCGAGTTACGTAGCTCATGTATCGCTCATAACATAACGTAAAATTTTCATTACTGTGCTCCGAATATGTTATTGGTGTCTAATTTTATTGAACATACAAAATTACGGTAGCTATTTGAAATGCAAAATATTAAAATTAAAAACTAATTTCTACTGATTTAATTAATGTTATTTCATGCTGCAAATGTCAACAATATCGTCATAACAAAGATACAATTTTGATACGATACTGAAAGAATAATATTGGCAACATTAGGTATATTAAAGATGATCTAGTTCTAGTTTTAAACAGAACATATTTTCTTAAATATTGCTACATAATTAATTTAAAAAATTAAGGATATTATGATAAAACACCTGTTAGCTTTATTTGCTATTTTTTCAAATTCCATAAATTATTAACATGCAGTTATATGAAGTTATCAGAAAAGTCGTTGCAATTTCACATTAATTTATTTCACATTCGTATATTGCTATATTTTTATGTACAAATATTTGATTTAGCTTGAAAGCTTTGCGGATGGCATTGTATATAATAATATTGGAGCAAAATAGTATTATGTTTGAGTAAGACATTTTTAATATTAAGATTTATTTGAATATTTCAATGTATATATTTTTCAGAGTCAACCATAGCTACAATAACTGTAAGTATTAATAAGAAAGATATTTTATTATTTAATTTGTAACAGATTTTAACGCGATAAAACAATTGTGCAAAAAGGATTGTTTGCTTTTCTTTCTACGTATCATACGAGTATGTACTGCATATATAATCTAGATAGAAAAATAGATTAAATATAATTGTAACAGAATCGCAACACAAATTTACAATGTGTATAGCTTTGCGTATTTTTTAATACACATATAAATTTAAAACCAGATATTACGATGAAGCACTTACTTTTATACCATAGTTGCTCTCCTCGTAAATGATGGAAACGTAGCTCCAACCCATCGTCAGTACAATGTCGACCATCGCTTTGACCTGATAGTGATCGCTAGGTATGGTGCGAGTGAAATATTCGAAGCGTTGTTTGTTGGAAAGCTCTGGACTTGTCGAGAAATAGGAAACCTATAACACAATGGCCAAAATTTCGTCTTAAATTATTCACATACGAGCGGCTTGCTGTAAATTTTATAACGTTGGTCGCGTACAATATTGTTACACAGTTTTGTAACAAGAGAATATTTTTCATGTGATATTTATATATGTTATGCATAAAATATTTTTACTTGTATTTATGTAAAATGCAGTGAAACGCATGATGTAGATAAATGACGTTGTTTACGTTTAACCATGCGTTTCTCGAATATTCCTACCTCCTGAGATTTAATTTATATTCAAGTTACTTTACTTAAATCAATAAATCTCTAAAAATTTGCAACTAAACCGTTATTTATATGAGGTTATCAGCTTAGAATATACACGGAGAGAATTTTCTCTTAAAATTTATTCTGAAAATCACGTAGTCGTGAAACAACGCGGCATTTCGAACAATTTTATGAGAGTTTTTTTAAATGCCATGTTGTCCTACAATTATATGATTTTCAAGATAAATTTTAAGAAAAAATTCTCTGCGCGTATACCCCTTATGGAAAAGCAATGAAAAAATTATTAGATAATTACTGTACATTAGTAATTTTTGATAATTCAATTACTGATATACAGTAATTTTTTACTGTTGTAATTAGTTCGTTACTTTTTCGTAAGGGTACAAAATCTAAAATGATGAAAACTATTTGAAGTCAAATTAATACAACATTGAGTTAAATAAAAAAAACGAGTCTCTTAACGAAGCTGAAAATTAGTTTGAATAATTATGTAGTCTCGTTCTGCTTGCAAAGTTTCATATCTTTTTCATTTCTTTTCTCTAAGACTACAATAATCTTCCATAAACTGTATGTATGTAATTTTATTATATAATTTTCTCAGTGACAAGGTTCCTAAACACCTTCAAACTTTGACAAATTTTTTTATGATGAAATCTACAGTATCAATTTGGATTCTGACAGTTTTCATCATTTCAGTTTAACGGCTTAAAACTACCTAATTTCTTAGTATTCAAACATCTACGTTCCCTTTCTGTCTTCGATTAAACTTTTCAGTTTTATTAATTTGCTTGTATTATTCAAATAAAACGCTTTCTGTTAAAAGCTTGCAAATACTAGGAACAAAATAAAAGCTGTTGTCCTTATTATTAAAATAATATAGAAAACGAAAATGCATAATCAATATCTTATCCCTTTCTAAAAAAAGAGTTGCTACTGGCGTGAATCTCGTTTATAATATCGAACAGTTGAGACCTTACTTCTCTTTTAGATTCGTGTCATGCTTCAGCTCGCATGTGAATTTTGACAGTTGTGTAAAAATATCCTAAAGAAAGTTAAAGACTAAGCAAAAAGTTAAAGAAAAAGAAATTAAAGTTAAATATCTTATTGAGTGAAGGAGAATAAAAGAAATTCTTAGTCCAATGAGAGAAAAACGATAACTAATCTTTTTAAAAAGGTATATAAGAGATTTAATTATTGACGCTGTTCCGCGATGCTAATTTTTTCGCTTGGCTTTGTACCACGAGTAGCTGTCAGTACGGAGATCATGTAATATGTATTTCGACAGTGTCTCAACGTCAGATTACATCATTTCTTCTTCCATGAAGAAACTTTTAATGCGTAAAAAATATCATGAATAAATATAAATTAAAACTAATATAAAATAAATATAAATTAAACTAAATAGCGCGCGCAATATTATTTCTAATAAAGTATTTAATACCAATCTATATTATTATTAAAGTAAATAATTCCATAATTTGCCCACAATAAATGAAGATTTGCAATTTAGAAATATACATTTGTATCAACTATTGAGGTAAAATCTCTAATCTTATAGTAACTAGAATTTAAGGTAGTTATTTCGTAAAATTATTTATGTGGGAAGCGCCGGTTCCGAGAAATGACATAGCCGCGTCGTAAACACTTCGGGCGAGAACGGTCTATTCTCATTGTGTCTAATCATTCGCGCGGCGACAGTCGAACGAGTCGGTTAGCGGCCCGCGCCGCTCCGCGTATCGTATTATTTTTCAGCGATACGCGTTCGCGACAAGTACGGGGAGAACCGCGATCGCTCTCTGTGAACAATCAGCGATCGATGTCATCGCGTGATCGCTGAATCCTCGCGATTCGCTATCGATGCTCGGTTAATCGGCAAGACAAATATCTCGCGCGATTCGCACGTGAAATCTGTACGTCCAAAGATCAAAGCGCTAACTTGAAATTACTTCATTGCGATTTATGATCATTTCAACTGCCAAAAACTGAAATTGTTCGGCACAGAAAGCTGCTCTGTAGTTGCAAAGATTTAGTCTCCTTTTCATTCTCGCAGCCAAGCTTGATCCTTGCGAAAGATTTATCGTGGAATTTCATACACACTGGGTATAGAATTTTCAATGTCGTAGGCGGGACAACGAATTCTCCACGTTCGTTGTTTTTCACTCGGCGCGGTGACGTACGATGTTTTTGCGTGCCATCGTGTGCCTGAAGGTCGCTGCGATATCACTCGCTCGCCGAACGTCGAGCCGGCAAGCAGTGGCGACAGTCGCTCCGTGCGTCGTATTACTTTTGCGTTATCGATTTCCAAGACGCGATCGCGACGAGTGTGAGGGTAAAACGCTATTGATTTGTACACGTTTATTATTAACAAATAACGTTCATCGACTAAAGATTATAACTTGTAGTGAAAAATTATTTGCACGTTCAAGCGACGGCTTTTATCAACGTAGCTTTCACGAGACTAACTCATTGTAAGATACGAACGTAAACCGTGGTACTTTGTTGCGATTACATCCCGTTTACGCACCGCGCTTCTAAATTATCTGTCGTTTTCGTGTAATCTATTCTATTTTCGGGAAAAGAGAAAGAAACTTGTGCGGCTTTGGCATTTGCGCTGTAATTCGCTCTGTCGTTCTTCGCGACTCGAACGGGCAGGAAGTAGAGAAAGTGGCTTATCGCGCGTTGTTACATTATCTCGAATAACTATTGCAATTAATCACAACTATCGCCGCAGGTTCCGCTCACATAATTCACTTCGAGGATTAGATTGAATGACTATAAAGATTGTGATACATCGTTTTGTTGCGGACTAATTACTACTTTACCGCAGATTATGCTTGCAACTACAGAGCAGCATTCTGTACTGATTGTGAGCAATTTAAGTTTTTGACAGTTGAAATGACCAGAAGTCGCAATGAAGAGGATTCCGATGCTCGCGTCGCGTTGTATATCGCTGATTTATCCATTATTTTACTTCCTCCGAATCAAAAGTGCAAGTTGTAATTTGTACGACAGAGAGTCACTCGATATTTGTTAATAATATTTCGTGCGTTTCGCGGTATTTCACGTCGCGTACGGGAGTGCCCGAAATTTCGCGCGATCGATGATTTTCGCGAGTGAGTGTTGTGTTAATGCAACAAGGAAATCTGAGAGGAGGAGGAGGTCCAGGAGGCATCGGGCAACGTCGGAGCAATCGTAAGGTGAGTGTTTTACATTTTTATATTATTTGCTACTTGTGCAAAATAGAGCATCTGTTTTTGTTCTGTCATTCAAATCATTCGAACGATGATTCGAATAAGTGTTGCAGACAAAACCATACGTATAAAATTTTGTGAGTCTATATTTAAGAGGGAGACTTTTTCAATATTCTATATAATTATTTTAATAAATACCTGTTTTAAAAAAGATAAAATATAAAGTATATTTAATACAATAATTTCGATTTTATAATTATTCTATAATAATCATACACATATTTGTATTTTTACAGTTTACCATACATATACAGTTAACGATGTACAACGCTGCTATTGCGAGTCGTGTCAGTGAGTGATAAATTACCTTTTATTTTAAATTGACGTTGCGCATACAATACCTTCTTTGCATGTATACAAATTTTTTAAAAATATACAATGCTCAATTATAAACAGCGCGCGCGAAGCGCCGTATATTCTAGTAGAATATAAATAAGGGAGGGAAGAATTATAAATCTGAAGACTATAAATCTATAAACGTTCGATCGTTTTATAAAACCATTCTCCTCTCTTTGTGAAATGTCGTAGATTTCTACGATGTAAAAAGATTGCTGTGTCAATATGTCGAAGTCTCCGTATTCGGTGGTGTAATAACGTTGATATAAAACTCACGTGGAATTTTTATCGTTCACATGTTCTCGATTCCTAAATCTTATACAAAATGTATGGACGTTGAAAAGTTTTATTCCCCTCTTAAATTTGTTTCTAATCCTGAAGCCTATCGAAGAACGATATCGGGTTTTTCATTGCGTTGCACACGACATTATAGAATACGGATATTTGCGTTGGCATTGGGTAATCCTGTTCGTGATTGCCGGCGAGTGGTTGCGCTTGACTAAAAGCGAAGTAAACTTGGATCCTCCTGAAAGTGGCAGTCGTTACTGCTAGCCTCGAATTCTCCGATTTTACTGCCGGGATATACCGAGAGAGCGAAAACGTGTAATGTTTAGAGAGTCACCATGTGCAAACTCGTATGGTTTCCTCGAGAGAGAAGAGCAAAGATAACCGGTTAATTGTATCGTCCGATGCTCTTTAAAGTGATCCATATTACACTGTAAAAATCCGGAGTTGCATCTCACCGGATCTCGTAACGTTACGCAGTGATAAAACGTTCACTAAAAGTATCTTGGCAATCTTAATATTAAAGCGCCCGGGAAGGGGATGTAGCATCAAAGCTCGAGAAGTATAAATAATCAAACAGTTATGAAGCTTCCAGATTCAAGAAAGATTTGAGAATTTAACAATGTAAGGATTCAAAGACTGAAAGGTCGCGGAATCTACGGGCTTAAGCGGCTACAGATCGAAGGATTCGGAAATCAAAGTTCCGTGGAGTCGCGTGTTCAAAGAACAAAGTTTAAGGGGTCTAAGAGTATAGATATTTGACGAACGGCGAGATCAAATACACTTAGCTGTTTGACGATCTAATATAAATAATGATTTACTCGCGAGTATATGAATTTAATCTCGAGAGACGGAGTATTCCTGAAAA